CTGACCCTATGCAATAAACCACAAAAGAATCCAACCCGTTCTTCGGCATTAGAAACCAAATCAGAAGGTAGAATATTAGACAAAAACCTAAGCTCATCATCATCTATCATCGTCCCGCTACTTGACCGGAGTCTTGCTCAGTCAAACGCCGTCTCTTCTTGAACCATTAGAGGGTTGTATTGGTAGTTTCCGCGATTAGGTGGATTGGACCCAGTTGAACCTTTGCGAGGTGCGCCCATACCCATGTTCATGTTCATGAGCAGCATCCCGCTTTCTCGCTTCCGCTGTCGTTGCTCCCGAGCACTGCCAGACTGCACTGCTCCATTCAGGCTACCGTATCCCTCCCCAGATCGATATGCTTGCTCGTACGCTGGCACTTCGTAGGTAGGCCTCATTGGAATAAAGCCAGAGTCGTATCCGTTGTACTGTCCTTGTCCCTGTCCCTGCTGGTGTTGCAGTTGCTGCTGCAGTTGCTGTTGCATCTGCTGTTGCACTTGCTGTTGTTGTTGATTTTGTTGAGGGGGCTGTGGAGGTGGATAGTTTGGAGCACTGTTGCCTTGGTAGTGTTGACCTGGCCGGTCCATTCGCTGCTGAAAGCTCGTGTCATTGTAGCTAGGCGTTGGGAGCTCTGAAAACATCTGCCGCCGTGGAGACCGAATCGCATCATCACCCAAGTGCGACGTGTCGTTTCGGATCTCATGGATCGGGGAACTAGCTTCGTCGAGAGCCGTGCCGAAGATGTCGGGGAAATCAGTCAAGAAGAACGAGATCAACGGTGCCGGGATGTTGAGCGTGGGCGCAAATACAATGCCAACGTTGCGCACCGTCATCTTGTTCACTGCCGAATTGTCGATGATCTCAATGAGGAACGATGACAAGTGCCTTAGCAGCTCAAAATTGGGCCTGGGGAGTTTGTGTACGAGTACATTGAAGCTTTGAATCTTTTTGCTTCGTTCATCCATATCTAGTCCGCGTTAGTATGTCTTATGCTTCACAAAAACCCATCAGCGACTTACCGAGAACTTTGAGAAAGTCCAAGTGCAGTTCCCGAGTGAGGATGGACGATGGTAATTCTCGCAAGTACAACTTCAGCAACGAAGCTACGGCATGGACGTCGTAGTATTGCCCATCCAGCAACTTAATATCACCTTCAGTGTTGAAACGATCGCGTAGTCCTTTGATAACAATGTTCGACCCGCTCAGCCTAAAAATGCCTTCTTCACTTATTGCCCTCTTGGCTCGGAGGTATTCCAAGCATCGATAGACAACTGCTGGTAACGGAACATTGACACCTTCGGGTTGGGTGTAGTCTACTGCTTCCATGAGGGGGACACCAAAAATGCTGCGGTTTTGAGGTACCCGATGCTCAACAGCTGCCTGGAGGAGCGGGGCGTTGACCTGGACAGGTGCCAAATCCGAAGAGCCGCCACGACCTCTAAACCCAAATATGCTGCGTTTCTTGTCCTTTGCGGCTGTGGGTGCTGGAGTCAATCTAGCGCCCCAGTTCTCAGCGTCCTTAATGGGGGTTCCATTGCTCGGGCCGGAAATGGAGTGATAGTGGCCGGAACTGTCTTGTAGAAAGCTCGTGTCCTTGGGCGACCCTCGCGAAGGTCTCTCTCCCAGTGCCTCTCGATGGTTGGGCCCGCGGATTGGGGCTTGTGCTGCCACTGTATCTTCGTAGCTGAGACCTTGTACACGATCCTGTTCCGTTACGTCAGGGCTCTCTCTCCGTTGTGAGCGTGTCGAATCCTGGCTAGCTTGCTGCTTCTGAGAACGCGAGGCGGGAGGAGGGCGAGCCTCAGTTGGCGAGGTTTCCTCTTGGATCTCAACATGTTGCAAAAGTGCTTCAACCCAAGCATCTCGTTCCTCGTCGTTTTCGGCACACAGTACATGACGAACAAGGCTCGAAGAGTCTTTCCGCTTTGGCTCCAAAATTAGGAAGGCATGTCGATACTGATTATCCTCGGAATCGTCCTTTCGCTGTGGTGACTGTGTGGATTGTTGTTGTGATTGTTTCCCAATCTGCGCGTTTTGCAATTTGATGGTACCTAGGTGGGCGCCACCTTCACTCTCAAAGTATCTGAATTCGGAACCATCCAGCACGAAGAAACGTGCCTTCCAGCCTCCAAAGTTCTTGCCGCGTTTCGTAAGATAGCCTTCCTTGCGCTGGTTCTTGACAGCCGATACAGCCGGTCCAGGAGTGGGCTCCGGGGCTAATCTGTCACCTGCTTGTGCGCCAATTACATCGGCAGACAGGTATTCGCAAACAACACGTGCTGTCCTCTCGTCTGTGGGTGCCTCCAGGACACAATCAAAGTACTGGTTAAGAGCAACTCTTCGAGCATCGATCTTCGCAGGGGCGTGACCTCCGAAAAGAGCACGATCTGGGAGTTTCCCTTGGAAGTCACATAGCGATCTTAGGTGAGAGTCCAGGGCGGGAAGTGTCGCAATAGTCTTCTCTACGCGCCATAATTGTTTGTTGTCGGAGCGGGCGTAGATTGCAAGAATAAAGACTGGGTCCTCCTCCTGAGGTTTTGGGGCCAAGAAACTCAAGCGCGATGGCCGGAGCCTAGATGAAAACACCTTGACCTGGATAGACGGGAGAGCGTTAGGAGGGAGCAAAAGCCCTGGGTACTGGTCCGAAACAAGGCCACGGTAGACATGCTCTGCATCCGGAATGTCGTTCAAAGTAGGACTGCCTGAACCTGAGTCTGAACTAGTCTGTGCCCCTGGCACGGCCAAGAGTCCCCCTGGCGATTCTTTGCTTGACTGCGTATTCTTTTGGTTCTGGTTCACTGGAGGTGATTGGTATGACTGAGGCGTGTTTGGTGGAAAGGGAACTTGTTGCTGGCCAGTTCGCGATCCTGAATGGTTCAGGAGGCTTGGTGACATTGGCGGCGATGCTAGTGACGACTTGGGATTCCTCGGCAACGGTGATCCTAGAGGTCGGTCGGTAGGGCGAGGGCTGGACGGGAGGCCGGGGCTGAGGAGGGGCGACGCAACGCTTCGATTGGCCATCATAGAACTGTCAGAGTTTGTAGGGCTAAGCAGAGCATTCAGCGAATTCGCGGGTGGGTGTCGGGGAGAGATCGGAAGGCCCGATTGTAGAGCATTGATCTGACGCGGAGACAGAGGCACAGGGAATGTCTGAGGCTGATTGTTCTCCGCCGTTTCAGATGGTGTCACCTGTGTGCTGTTGCTCTCACTGCTCTGCTTTTTCGACTTGCTTCGAGCCTCTTCGTCCTTGAGGTACATGGCTTCTCGTACCCTGTCATCTTCCTCACGAGTCTTTCTCCTTCCCCGTTCCACCACGGGTATCTCATCCACCTCCAACGTATCGTCATAGTCGGAATCGACGTCATCACCATGCACGGCCTGGTGAAGATGCGCGCTGGTTGTTACGGGTTTGGAGAGATTGAGAGGAGCCGGGGGTGCTTTGCGCAGAGGCTGTGAAGGCTTTCGTGGAGATGCCTCGAATCCGTCACCGCCAACGACGGGGGTAGCTTGAATGAGGGATATCTCGGGAGGTTGTAGATTCGAGGCGCCTGGAGCAAGCGTTGCATCTGAGGCGATTTGTGGGGGTGTCGTTGGGTTCGGAACCTGTACTGACGGTTGAGTGACTTCAACAGGCTGGAGCACGGCGCTGTCAAGACCAAGACCTCTAGCGGCGAGGTTGAGGGGCTGCACCGAGTAGTCTGTGGGTGAGTTCACGCTCGACGTTGCATTCGACGCGGTAGAGTGGGAAGGCGATGTTGCCAGTTGTGAGTCTGGTATAAGGTGTGGTGCTGGGTGCTCTTGTGTCAATGGCGAGGTCTTGTACTCTCCTGTTTTGGCATCACCAGATTTAGCAGACTCGTCGGGTCGCTCACTGGTGACGGGCGACTCGCTGGGGTCACGGTCTACAACAGAGTTGAAGGTATCTGACTTTTGCAGTGAACCAGGGCCTGGTGGCACCTGCTCGACGTACTCCTTGAACTTTCGGCGGTAGCGGTCCTTGTCCTTCAATGCTCGCTCCAAATCCTTCTGCAACCCAATGATCATGGCACGCTGCTTCTCAACCAAACGCCAGAGCTGTGCATTGTGATTGGACGTGTTTTGCTTCTCCTTCCACAAAGCCACCATGGCAGCCTCGGGCGAACCTGCACTCGCTATGAGGGCAGCCATGTCTGGCGGATTGGCTGTGCTTGTATCTTGGGATGGTCGGGGAGCATGGTTGCCAGGAAGGCGGTTCTGGGAAGCACTCGACGAAAGCGAAGATGCAGCCGAGTCTATGGAGGGGTTGCGGATAGGTACCGTTGGCGTTGCCGTGTCTGGTCGATTTGTCCGCGATTGTGGAGACATGATGACGGGAGATGCTGGCGGGGAGATACCAGCCGATGACAGCGTGGGAGACGAGACTTGCCGTAGCTTTGCATACGCAGAGGGCCTCGTGGGCTGGGTGATGTGGGTAGTGGGGACGTTGGGTGGTGTAGGCGGATGCGCTGGCTTGGTTGGGCGAATGGGCGAGGAATGGTGCTGCTCCTCCTCAGCCAACAAAGCGTCAAGCTTCTCGCGGGGGCTGCGCGGCTCGTCGAAGCGTAGAGAGTCGTAATAGGGCGAGTTTTGGTAGGGTACTCTCGAGGGAATTGGGGTAGTAGTGGAGCTGGTTGACGTGGGCGACAGAGGGCTCGGGACTGGCTTGCGACGGGGGTTGTGGAGTTGGTGGGTGGCCGCAGCGGGCACGTTGTGGGAGGGCGTCGAGTCGTCGCGAAGGGAGCGAAAGCTGTTCGCGAGCGACGGTGAAGACGCAGAATGGTAAATTGAGGGTTTGTGCTCCGGGAGATGATGCGCCATGGATCTTTCCTGAAGCATGTCTGCATTGGTCCTCATACTTCTCAAACCAGCTTAGCCGAGCGACTGGGATGGGGGGCGGTATAACAGCCTGTTAGTGGGGATTAGTCGTGTTTCGGGGGGCCGTTGGGTGTCTGGTGAGTGCACAGCTGGCGCGCGCAGCAGTGTCGTCAGCAGCTGGGCGTCCAGCGCAGCATGAGACGAATATCAGTCAGAAGGAACAGCTGGGGGGGTAGAAGAGCAGCAGAAGAGATTTGGAGCGTCGCAAGGTCAACGCCCATTCGGCGCCAGAGCATAGGCGCCTTGGACAGAGCGGCCGACATGGACGCCTCTTCTTGGAGAGCTAGCACGGTTCCTGCAGAAGCGAGAGGCGCTTGGTCTCCACGATCGCCTCCACCAGCAGGCCGAGGGCCCTCGAGGCTGCGTCCGCTCAAGTTTGAGAAGTGCTTGGGCCGGTGGGCATCCTGGTCGGCGTGCTCGCCGTGTAGGCGGCTGAGAGAGCCATGGGCGGCGGTGATTGGCGGCGGGGCCGTGGCTTCCTGGCCGTTATCAACGAGGCCTTCAGCCACTGACGGGCGCAAGCAGACAGACGAGTGTGCGCGTGGTCTGCTGTCTTGTGTCTGCTGTCGTTGGTGCGGACAGTCAATTTGCTGGCGAGTCGGGGGCCTTTTGGCGGACGGCTGCCATTGGACGAGGCTGTGTGGATGACGGGCGTGGGAGGGTGTGCTGAGAAATGGAATTGGCACCTTGCCTGCCCACGCACCACGACGCTCACGCTCACACTGGCACTGGCACTGGCATTGGCACCCACCCATACTTACTTACAGCACGAGGGAGCGAGCAGGCTCAGCCCAGGCTCAGCGCCGGCCCAGACTGAGTGCGAGCGTGCAGCCAGAATGCGTTGGACGCACGGATTGAGTTCGACGGCAGCAAACTGCAAAGAAGCTTTTCGTGTGTGTGTGCCGAAATGAGATGGAGCCCCGCATGGGCGTCGATCAGTCGTGGATGTGCGTGGTATGCATCGCCCTGGGGTGGCGTAATCACGATGCTTGCCGTGTGTCCCTGACTCTGCCGCCCATAGTACTTAGTCCTAGTAGTAGCATGTATGTGTATGAGTGCTCTACTAGACAGCAAGCAGCCTAGGCGTATCGTCCGCTGTCGCCGCTCTGCAACACGGCAGCCGTACGGGCACGTTACATAACAGCGGGATACAGTCAGCGAGCGTGCTCACGGGCGCGGTGCTTGTGGCTGCTGGAACACATGTTGCTTGGAAGCAAAAGCAATCGTACGACTTTGTTCCAAGCTGCTCTGCTTCTGAAACCCCGCCGTGCTCAAGCGAAGCATGCTGCAGGGAGCCGCCCATAGCGCTGCCGCTAGTCCCCTTGCGGCCGGCCTGGCCTGCTCTGCATCCACTGCACCGCAGACTATGCACATGCTTCCTTTCTTTTTCCCTTTCGTCCTCTATATCAGGGGGTGCATGCAACCAAGCCTGAGACAGGCCGAGCCCATCGGGTTTTCCTTCTCGCTGCTGTCTTAACACCGAGCCTGTACCACCCCGGGGTGCGTGAAGAAGAGTGCGACAAGAAACAACGCGCTGCACCCATGGTAGTAGACCTTCACCCATGACACGACGCGGCTTCTTCCGTCTGATATCCGCTCCGCCAACAACCACCATCACTACCAACTACTACTACTACCACCACCACCACCACCACCACCACCACCACCAAGTCTGCCGAAACGCCATGCCCACCGACAAATCCACGTCGCAACCTGAGGCAGAACAACACAAATCCCTCTTCCTCCACGTCTAAATATATCTCATCCGCAATGTCAGCACCACCTCACCTGCGCATGGCAACATTCATGTCCTCAGGATCATCATCGTCATCCCAGCTTGCACGGACTCTGGGTTTGTGACACAGTCCTCAAAATGCCCAAACTTACTTCCATTCCCTGGGTCCAATGACCGTTTCCTGTCTATAGCAGCGCCGAGATCCATGGTTCGCGTCTCAGAGTGGAAGGTTATGCATACCTTCGAGCTGACAATATCGCTATACTGCATGCCTGCACCCGACTGTCAGTGCCAAGAGACCTGTCAATAATGCCTTATCGGGACTGTGAGATTAACACGCGCCACACATGTTGCCTCAACAGACGACCAAGCTGCCTTTCTGAACCAGAAAACCATGTCCGTGGTCCAAGCGCAATTTCTCTAGTGATGTACATCCACTGTGCTCTGCAAATGTCTAGTATCAATGTGACGGATATTGTCGCGTTGCTGTGCACAAGTATCATCTGGGAGTCGATTGAGATGGTCTTGATACCCAAAGTGAGACCTTCGCATCCTTTCAAGTGTGCGAGAGTTGGGTGCAATCGACACGCAGATCGCGATTACCCGTATCTTTGCACGAGGTCATCACAGGCACTACATGACATCCGAGGGCGGACGTCTGGCGGGCGTATGTCAAGGGCATCCATGAGTGTTTTGGTCGCGGCGGTTTGGTCATGATGTTCCTTCTATGCAGTCTGTAAACCCCGTTTCGTGCTGTCAGACTGTACAATATAATACACGTGTAGATTTGCTTCCACCTCACATAGACACCCTTCCAGTGCCACCTCGTTCGATCTTGTTCAACCGTCGTGCAGTCGCAATCTGTCGGCGTTAGCACCTTCCTCCACCACCCAACCCTGTCCTTCAACATCTCCCAGACCACACATACCTGTGTTCTTGTCTTTTGACCCCGCACTGGCAGACCCATTGCATGTCTCCTTCCCCGATATGTACCCATGTCTCTTAATCTCCGTATGTCGTCCTGAACCTGCCGCCGCAAATCGTTCTCAATCTTCATGTTGGCCAGCTCCGCCGTGAGATCCATGACTGTGGCGTTCTTCAGGCTCCCTACTTTCGCCCACGGGTGAATATGGAATTTTGCCATGATGCGCTGCGAGACCGAAGGCCCAATGCCATAGAACGACTGAAGAGAACGTTTCACGAGGGTCGCCTCCGTGAAGCTGAAGCCGTTAATGAACACCTAAACATGTCAGTAGTTGCGCATCATCCGATTCAGCAATTGTTCCAAACCCACCATGGCGTTGCTCCTTCCGACAACTGATTTGTGTTGTGAAGTGTCTCGCAACATGCCCGCACCAATCTCGAACTCTCCAATTGCACTAGTCCCAATTCAGACACCATAGAGCTTGGCACAGCTAAGGTGCGACAGTGCGGGCAGCACTAAAACACCACGTTTCAATACCGCCTCGCTCTCTGTATTTCAGCAGGGGGTTTCCTAGACTATATAACCCTTGCCAATTCCTCGATTGCCTTCGAGTTCTTCATCAGGCACCATGGCTTCCTTTCAGAAAGCTGTCATTTCGCTCTTGCTGATCCTCTCGATCACTTTTGTCTTCTTCGCCCAGACTACTGAGGCTGCCAAAAGCCCAAAGATCACCCACAAGGTGTGTATCTGCAACAGACGCTGGTAGAAGCTGTGTTGACACATGGACCAGGTTTTCTTTGACATTGAGATTGGCGATGAGAAGGCAGGCCGCATCGTCATGGGCCTTTACGGCAAGACCGTACCCAAGACCACCGAGAACTTCCGGTACGATGTCTCACAACACGCTGTGCAGCTTCACAAGCTAACCCACATGGTAGCGCTCTAGCTACTGGTGAGAAGGGCTTCGGTTATGAGGGCTCTACTTTCCACCGCGTTATCAAGGACTTCATGATTCAGGGTGGTAAGTGCATACCCGCATGTACTCCTCAAGAGATTCTTGCATACTGACAGCAATATAGGTGACTTCACCAAGGGCGATGGCAAGTGCTCTCCATGTCCGAGCAGCAAGTAAACCATTCTAACACAGCCTAGGCACCGGCGGCAAGTCCATTTACGGCGAAAAGTTCCCCGACGAAAACTTCAAGCTCAAGCACACCCGCAAGGGTCTCCTCAGCATGGCGAACGCGGGCAAGGACACAAACGGAAGTCAGTTCTTCATTACCACCGCCATCACCAGCTGGCTCGATGGCCGCCACGTCGTCTTTGGACAAGTCCTTGAGGGTTACGACATTGTGGAGAAGATCGAGAATGTCAAAAAGGCTCCGGGAGACAAGCCTATCGAGCCTGTCAAGATTGCCAAGAGCGGCGAGCTCGAGGTACCAGCGGAAGGTATTCACGAGGAACTCTAGACATCAGTACGCATTTCTTGCTATTGTGTCAACTCCCTTAGGTTAGACAGTTGCTGATTGTGCGTCCCTTTTCAAGTTATATACGGCGATGCAGAACCCGCCGATCCTAGCGACAGTCTCGATGTCACATCGTCAAAAGTTGGCGATGATGTCGCTAGCATTGCAAAGCCCCCGAAGGCTTCTGCTGACAAGCCTAAACTCGAGGGGCTGGCCTCTTCTGGCTCTTCCACAGATGGCCTGTCCCTGGGTCAGAAGCTCTTCTTTATTGTGGCTATCGTCGTGGCTTGCGCTCTGTTCCTGAGGTCAAGAAAGGGTGGACTTAAAGAGAAAAGCATGGCATAGATCACTATGATATATGAATTATTTTCCTAGTTACTCGGCTGTACTTTTTTTTGAGTGGTATATGCTATGCTGCGATATGCTTCCTTGAGTGCGCATGTGCCTAACAATGATCTCCAGTGCCATGGTCTCTCGCGTGCTGCTACAAAATGTGTCTAGTGGTCTGATCCCCCTATCATAGTTAAACTGTTCAAGTTTCATCTGCTGAAAATGGGCTTGATGTGTACGGATGCAATCTGATATTTCCTGCAAAGCACAGCATACAAACTCCCGGCTATGCTCAGTTCCTGAGGTGATGTCAATGCGAGGTTCTTCGAGAAGCATGAGGCATCTTCACGTGTGGTGAGAGCCGCAGCGGGTGGCAAAAGCAAGCGAGCCTGCATTTTCAAGAGGCGATTTTGTCACAGCCATGCAATATCAAGCACTGAACAAGCACACCACCGGGCAAATCCGCCGTTATCTTTGACCATCAAATACATGTCACTACGTATACGTCTGTGCATGGAAAAGCAAGCATAGTGCAGGGTACGACAGCAGCTGTGACGTTCACCGCTCCGCACTCGCCACAGAGCTGAGGAATCTTGGGACGCCCACGAACTAGTCCCGAAAAAGTCTAGCTCGAAAGGGTTCTCTCTGACGCTTTTTTAACTTAGCTGCCATCTCCCTCCTCTCTCACCACCCACTCTCAAAACCTCCTGTGTGTATTACACAACCTCACCATCACATTTTCTGTGTGAAGTCCTTTCTTTTGGCCTTCACGCTCCTTTACTTGTCGTTTTTTTCAGGACAGAGGCGTTCCCTTCTTTCCTGACAGAACGAAGATCAGGCACCTGCCTGCGAGTTACCAACTTCGTTACTTAGAACTGCTACTTTTCGTCTGTCGCTCACCGTCGAGCCAGCCGAAGTCTGCTACACAGTAATTTTCGACTTTATCGAACTACACCACGTAAACACGAAAACGCACGTCATCAGTCATCCCCGATCTCAACGCAATCATGGCTGAACAACTCGACATGGGTCGTCTCAACATCAGCGACTCCCAGCACAACCCCCAGAACGGCTTCAGCGGCGAGCGTTCTGCATACATCCCCCCCCACCTTCGTGGCCGCCCTCAGGGAGGCCCTGGAGGCCCTGCACCTATGGATGGCCCGCCCATGATGAACGGCGGTGGCAACGGTGGTCTCGGTGGCAGTGCCTGGGGACCAGGAGGGTCAGTACAAAGTTCACACACCTCAAGTGAACGTCGACTAACAGATCGCAGCCAAGGTCCTCCTATGAACGGCAACAACGGCGGCGGTGGCGGCTGGGCCAACGCCCCTAATTTCACTCCTCGCGGTCCCCCTGGTGGTGGATGGGGAGGCGGCGGTCAGCGCGGCGGCTTCGAATCTAATGGCTATGGAAAGTCTGGTGGCGGTGGTGGCAACGCTCGTGGATCTGGTGATGGCGCCTGGAAAGATGGCAAGCACGTTCCCGGCCCGCCCAACCCGCGTCTCGAGCGTGACCTCTTCGGTGTCCCCAACGACCCATCGAAGCAGCACACTGGTATCAACTTCGAGAAGTACGACGACATTCCCGTTGAGGCTTCCGGTCAGGGAGTTCCCGAGCCCGTCACACGCTTCACAAACCCTCCTCTCGATGACCACCTGCTGAGCAACATCGAGCTCTCCGGATACAAGGTTCCCACACCAGTACAAAAGTACTCCATCCCCATTGTCATGGGCGGTCGTGATCTCATGGCTTGTGCCCAGACTGGTTCTGGAAAGACTGGTGGTTTCCTCTTTCCCATTCTCGCTCAGGCTTTCCAAAACGGACCCGCTCCTCCTCCAGCTTCAGCACAGGGCGGTTACGGCCGTCAACGCAAGGCTTACCCCACATCCCTTGTCCTCGCCCCCACTCGTGAGCTGGTCTCCCAGATCTTCGACGAGGCTCGCAAGTTTGCCTACCGTTCTTGGGTTCGTCCCTGTGTCGTGTACGGAGGTGCCGACATTGGTTCCCAGCTCCGCCAGATCGAGCGTGGCTGTGATCTGCTCGTTGCCACCCCCGGTCGTCTGGTCGACTTGATCGAGCGCGGCCGCATCTCACTTGCTAGCATCAAGTACCTTGTTCTCGATGAGGCTGACCGCATGTTGGACATGGGTTTCGAGCCTCAGATTCGCCGCATCGTTGAGGGTGAGGACATGCCTCCCACCGCTGGCCGCCAGACCCTCATGTTTTCGGCCACCTTCCCTCGCGATATCCAGATGCTCGCCCGTGACTTCCTGAAGGACTACATCTTCCTTTCAGTCGGTCGTGTTGGTTCCACTTCTGAGAACATTACCCAGAAGATCGAGTATGTCGAGGACGCTGACAAGCGCTCCGTTCTCCTGGACATTCTCCACACCCACGGTGTTGGTCTCAGCTTGATCTTCGTCGAGACCAAGCGCATGGCCGACTCACTGTCCGACTTCCTCATCAACCAAGGTTTCCCTGCCACATCTATTCACGGTGACCGCACACAGCGCGAGCGTGAAAAGGCCCTTGAAATGTTCCGATCTGGACGTTGCCCTCTTCTTGTCGCGACTGCTGTTGCTGCTCGTGGATTGGATATCCCCAACGTCAAGCACGTCGTCAACTACGACCTGCCCACCGACATTGACGACTACGTCCACCGTATCGGTCGTACCGGACGTGCTGGAAATACTGGTATCGCGACTGCATTCTTCAACCGTGGTAACCGCGGTGTCGTCCGTGATCTCATCGAGCTGCTGAAGGAGGCTAACCAAGAGGTTCCTAGCTTCCTCGAGTCCATTGCTCGCGAGGGCTCTGGCTTCGGTGGCGGTCGCGGTGGACGTGGAGGCGGTCGTGGCCGTGGCAATGCTGCTACCCGTGACGTTCGTCGTATGGGCGGTGGTGGTGGTGGTGGCTTCGGCGGCGGTAACGGCGGCAGCTGGGGCGGCTCTCAAGGCTACGGAGGAGGTGGTTACGGCGGCGCCCCCGGTGGCGGTTATGCTGCCCCTGCCCCTGCCTATGGTGGCGGCGGTGGTTACGGTGGTGGTGGCTACGGCAACCCATCTGGCCCCGGCGGCAACTCTTGGTGGTAAATGCACAAACCACCGCTTCACGATATAGCCAGCCTGGGGCATGGTTCTTTTCCACGAGATCCTAGGTCTTCGTGTTGCTATTACGGACGGCTTCCTTTCATTTCCTTCAGTTTTGGTTTTTGTTTCTGCAAATCTTTTCCGGTTATCACGGATCGATGCGGAAATCTGGAATCTTATACCCCAATCAGCATATAGACAGCGACTGTTTTTCTGCGGCTCTGCCTATTTTCGAGCTCTTCTCGCATACGATACCCATCGACGGCCATCCGTCGAGCTCGAGCATAGACGGCAGGACTCTCGCCTTTTTCGAAGAGGCATGCATTACGAACATTTCACGCCTTCGCTCTTTCTGCAAGCATGCTGCTTGGGGAGCTATAGATTCTCGCTTTCCGAGTCATCCACAGGCGGATGACCATAGTCAGCATTTCCTTATTTACGACAAAAGTGATTCCTTTTCCCGGTCATATCCCTTGGCGACAATGTCTTTCTCGTCGTCCTCTTGTCTCTCGATCTCTTCACATGCGAAGGGTAGCAGCATGGCTGTTCGGGACGACGAAAAAGTTTGCTGCATAGATGGCGTTCATGAAGGTTTAGCCACGACCCAACCTTTTTTACGGAAGGAATATACCCCGGTTCTTTGTGGTAACCGTCATGGTGGCTGTCTTTTCAAGGCCAATTCGGCGGTGGGACTCGAAAAAGATAGTTTTTGGTTTGCATCTCCCCGTGTCCTGACATGCGAACCCTGGACCCCCAAGTGACCTTGGGTGAAAGGAATCTCATAAAAGCACAGTTTCGAGCCAGATGATTAGTTAGTTAGATAGACTAGCATGGGCTGCCGACACAAGCAGTCTGTACAATGCATGCGTTATGACACTTGCAAATATATTTTTTAAATGTTGATGTGATGTGTTGTTGTGTGAAGTGGCTTGGATCCCACTTGGGCATGTATGCAGTGGGCATGACTAGTATTCTGAAAGTGTAATGTGTGATTTCAACGAGAGCAAAATGCCGTATTACTATTGTCTAGCACATATAACAAATTGCTCGATACACGTGCTTTACATCCTACTGTTTATATATTCTTGCCCCCCTCTTACTCGATCAAAACACCCCATTCCTTCACTCTTTCTGATGGCTTTTGGATGAACTTTTTCTCATCACTATTCCTGTTCTTTCCCCCTTCCCCCTTCCCCCTCCTTCTATTCTTTACAATCGGGGGGGGGGGATTAATTTTCACAAAACCGAACATAGTAACGCTAGTCTCTCCCCTTACACAGTATTTTATACCTCTCTCTCTCAGTCCACACAAACACACACACACACACACACACACACACACACACACACACACACACATTTTCCGTTGCGTGCTTGTTTTTTTTAGTTTTCTCGCAAATATAAGGCATGTTATAAGAAATGGAGAAGGACGTGAGAGTCTAAGAAGAAAAAAGGGGGAGGGTTCGACTACGAGCATGGTAAAAGGGTAAAATTGGCAAGGTGGAGTGGGTGTCTTCACTTTGCATAGTTACGAATTTTTCCTTTTTTTTCTTAGTTAATAAAATCGTTACTTGGTTACTTTGTGTACTACTACCCTTTGGTTATTTCCTTAACTCCATATAGAGGAAAATAGGGCGGGTACTCGTGTTTCAATTTGTTCAGGGCTATGTACGAGATGGCTTGTTTTTTGTTTTTTGTTTTTTGGGTTGGGTTGGGTGTAGGGTGTAGGGTTTGAGCAGCAGGAGTGGACAAGGACATGGGTGGTATACAGAGTGGGGTGGGGTCACGGTGAGGTCACGAGGGATGTGCTGTAGGATACGTGCGAAGTGCATAGGAGGGATATGTGTTTTGAGAAGAAGAAAGGAGCGTTTCGAGTTTCTTCTTCGTTGTTTGCGTTATGGTGCGTTGTATGTTTTTTGTTTGTTTCATTTTTTTGTTCGACAGGTTTGTCGGTATTGTTTGTCGTGTTTCTCTTCTTTTTGGGTTTCGTCCGTGTCTCGATGTTTTGCTTGAATTGATCAAGTCATGGGGCAATCATGGCTCTTCGAAAAGTTTGGTTGTTGGTCTGGTTGTCAGTACCGGCACATGAGTGTGTCAAGACGAAATGCTGCCATTTTACTTTTCTCATTAACTATGAAAAGAAAAAACACATTGTCGCAAGTGGTATCAAGAAAAACAAAGTTCTGAAAATAAGGCCCCGCTTTCTTTCCTTCATTAAGATGGGCATCCCTTCCTCAGTTGTCACTCTTCTGTTACTTTTTTTTGTCATTTCATACACCTTTTTTTCGAATCCCTGGCCCTGATGCAGCACAAAAGCATTGCGTACCTCTTGGATACATCTCAACGGTCCATTCAAGCTATCTGCTTCAATAGCGGCGCACGCAGTGACACGTGAACTGACTAAGGTGCAATCGTGTATGCGTTGCCGTACTCGTTCCTTCCACCAGCATTGGCATGGCCGTTGCTCATATGTCCGTTAACGCCATTCACAGCAGTATCCTCAGTGTCGTAATGCAGGCGTAGAGATGTCGGAATGGGACTTTCCTTACTGGATCCATCGAGGTAATGACGCATGGTAATACCCGCAAGATGGTGCTCCGTTGTAATGAATCGGCCTGGCTTACCGGGTGCACGACGTACATTAGGTAGCTTGAAGACCTCACGCAGGGTGGATGCGAGTGAGGGGCCGACGAGGCGTGCGCCGAAACAGAAGTGAAGTCCGTGGCCAAGAAGAGTGTATTCCTTGAATGAGCGGTGAGGGTCCAGGATTTCGGGGTTGGGGAAAGCGAGAGGATCCATGGCAGCCTTGGAGGTAGCAATGAGCACTGTGTGACCCTTCTTGACGGTGACAGGGCCGCGGACGCCATCTTGGACTGTCACATCGCGTGTTGCAATACGAGGGAGACCTGGTACGACACCAACATGGCGCATACCCTCGTAGACGAAACCCTGAAGTTCACGATCAGAATCCTTGGGATCCATGTGTGATAGCTCTACGATCCTCTTCTTGTACTGCTCGTACTCTGGCTTCAGGTACAGATCAATGAGGAGAGAAGCTTGTTGTGTCAAATTTCCGGCTACGGGGGCACCCATACCGATACAGTCACCAACCAGGTCGCCGATAGGGAGCTTAGTATCGGCCAAGGCGTGGTAGATGCGATCAGCGTGTGGGCCTACTTCAAAGGCTCCGCCCTTAGCCATCCAGTCCACAACGGTTTCTAGACGCCCGGTTTGCGTTTTCAGGTGCGTCTCGAAGATTTTGCGAAGGGGCGCTGCAGCTGCCATGGCGCCAGCACGAAGCTTCCACTCGTTGTGGGGCATAATGTTGAAGGATTGATACATGACTGTGCAGCTATCAGTAATGTGATACAACGCTTGTGGTGAGGGTCAACTTACAGAGTACCAAGTATGCCATAAAAGCTTCGTGAATAGACAACAAGCCACGAGGCTGTTCTGGAGTCTTGAGTGGAAGTGCAAAACGTTCTGCAAGCCACAAAATAGGTGTGATGTTCGTCACGTCGCGTACGATGTCGATGCTCATCCTACCCTTTGCACCCTTGAGCGAGTTCTTCTTGATGAGATTTCGCACGTTTGTCGTAAAGAAATCATTAATGTTCTTCTCAAAGCCCTCTTCGAAGAACACCTTGTGGAGGATATTGGATCGCTCGTCGTGCTTCTTTGCCTCGTCCCATCCGATCATGAAGTCATGTCCGGCAGTGCAGTTACGGATTGCAGCCTGGTACATGACAACAAAAGATTCTCGATCCTCGAAGACCTTTTTGCAGCCTTCCTGGGTTTGGACACTGACGATGTCGTAGCCACTCGGAGGACGAGAGGTATCGTATTTGTCGAGAACATTGTTACCCTTGAGGATACCCTGAGCAGCCTTGGGCGTGTAGAATGGCAGAAGAGCATAGCTCGATGTGCCTTTGAAGCCACCAGGGAGAGCTTGGAAAATCAGCTTGGGGAGAACACCCCCATAGGCGCCAGGGGTGGTCTCGGACAGAAGAGCAGCACCCCAGTTTGTCAGGGTATTGCTATTGAAGTCGTAGCTCAAGAAGCGGTCACCACGAACAAGGGCTACGGCATCGTCCAAAATACCTCTGCCTGTGGTCTGGCCAGGGCAAACACCACTTCCTGGCATAGCTGGCTTGGTGCACTCGGCCATCAAACCAGGGTATAGCTCCATGTTCTCCATGTGGCCATACAAGAGCTCTGCAGCTCGAGCAGTCTCTTTGTCCGAGCACCAGTCTTCAAATGTATCGTACGGCTTCAGGTTTAGGTAGCGACGGAACTCGTTGAGCGTGCAAACATTGAACATCTCGCGCGCTTGCAACTGGCCCATCAGGTCAACAACCTTTAGACTGGCAGGCGTGCCATGCGCACCAAACGCATGGGCAGGCTCCTCAATACAGTCTTTGATCAGTTCAGATAGGTCAGAGTTCTTGAACCTGCCGTCAGGGCCTCGCTCAAGGCCTCCAAAAGTCCACTCGCTGGGCTGCTTCTTCATAAGATCATGGCCCCAGACCTTCATGACCTTGTGAAACATCTCGATAGTGACATCGTCAATGTGGCGGATATCAGGGTATACAGATCTGATGATGTCCTCCATCCACTTGTCGTCTGCTGCGCTAAGGGCTGCGTGCCAGTGGTACAAAACGGCGAACTCGACAGAAACATGACTACCAGTTCCGCGCTCAACACGTCCATTTTTGCCCTTGATCTCTTTGCCAAGGTCCAAAGACCATTCAGAGTTGGCTCGTGGGGTGTTGAGAATAGCGGCAACGTAGTCTCTGAGCACAACTGACGCGAAGAATCCAACATTGATGTTGCGCGTAATCTGGAAAATGTCCTCGTCTTGCCTACACGCTCGAGTTAGATTTGATCTAGGACTAGGAATTGTGGAGAGACTTACCATTTCTTGCCCTCTTCATCGAGGCTATCCCACGGCTTGTACTTGCCATCTTCATTTACCGCCAGAAGCGATTCTGCGACATGATTGTGGTTTCTTGAGAACAACAAGAGGACCGCCACAACACCAGGCGGCATCATCATGATGCGCTCTGAAGCGATGGAATCTGGGAAGATCAAGCCGTTCGTGTATGTTCTTACACGCTTTTGCTCCTTTCCTGTGTTGCCGTAAAGGGTGCTGAGATCGACATAACTAGAAGTCTCGTTGATCCAAGGATCCGTTCTCGAGGTCTGAAAACACTCGTGAATGACAATCGTCGCAAAAGAGAAAAACAGGCGGTTGAGACCAGAGGGGTGCTCTCGGAAAGGGCCATTGCGCTTGAGAAGCGCCTCATACACATCTTCAACATCAGGCAGATTGGGTCCTGAAATTTGCTGTCAGCTGTGGTTCGCCAGTTTGTTCTGTTAAGATGATTGCTTACCTTTCGGTTTCATGGGTGGCACGTTGCGCGCATACGGCGACCCCGCCTTGCCCATGTTTGGTAGATGGGGATTGTTCCCTGAGCCATCATGACTTCGGTATCGCGCCGAAGGTCCAGCATGTGTAGGAGTGGGATGTGGCAGGTCGTTCCATAGCATGCTAATGAAACCATCGGAAACTTTTGCGCTGAGACCGCTGTTCAAGGGCAGGCCCTGCAGCATCTCGACGCCATGCTCGAGGAGCAGGTCTTTGTCATCTAGGGGTTCACCAGAAGCTAGGGTGGTGATGGCCTCTAGAGCAAATTTGGTATTCTTAACACCAAGACCGGTGATGTCGCTCATGACGCTGGTCCTGTTGTTGGCCTTGACACCCCCGCTTGAAGCCTCTGCTGACCTGCCATCGCTGGCGCGCGTAGGCTTCTTTCTGATCTTCTCAATCAACGTTGACAATTGGCCTGGCATGATGAATAGTGATTATGATGAGCATGTGAGAGGAAAGGAAAGGAAAACTGAAGCTATGTAGCAGGCGGGGAAGTCTCCAAGTATGAGCAAAGTAGCTTGCGAAAAGAGCAATGGGCACTGATAGGCGTCGTGCTCCCGACGCAGACCCTTAGTCCAGCGACAAGAAGCAAGGTGCAGGACGACGATCGCTTGCAGGCATGATGCAGTGATCAACATGTCGGCTCGGTGAGCAGTTCCAGATATCGTCAGTGGGCGTTTTTTGGAGCTATGCGTAAATGGGCACTGTGTAGGATGGGTTTTGGACCTTTGCACTGTATTAACCGCCTTTCCCGTCGATCCTATTGGCGCTCTGCGGCCATGTGAATGATATCACTAGTGGGATCTCATAGCACGGTCACTGATCCACGGCTGAACACTGCACGTCCACCTCGATCGGACGCATCAACAGCGGTGATCAGACCTGTAAATGGTCCCTCCCGCACCATTGACTCGCAGAATGCACGATTGATAGGTCAGGTAATAGAGCTCGCTGCAGATCTGGGTGACACTATGAGCTGTCAAGCAGAAGAAATCTGCAGGGGACCTACGGATGCACCTGTCTACCGGGTACGTGAACCAGGCGGGGAAATGGGTTTGAGAGGTGAAGCAACCAAACAAGTCGTATTCTAAATGAACAGGAGCGGAATTCGCGGGTAGCTGGATAATGCTCAAGGAGAGGCAGTGGGAAGCCGTGCTGTGGTGATGGCTGGCTGGCTGGCGGAGAAGCACGTGAACAAGCCTCCAAAACTACCCTGTCGAGTAGGGTGCTAGGGGCCGCCTTTCCGCGGTGTGCGGCCTGTCCCGGATATGCAAGGTCACGCTGACCGGGCTACAGGCGCTGCGTGCTGTGTTACTGGGGAGGATCTCCTGGTGCGCCAAACTCGGCGGGTAAGAAGTACGTCGCCCAAAATGTCCGGTTCAATCCTTGTGCAACGAGCACTACATTGGGTGTAACGCCGTTGAAATGCTCAATCTCTGCAGCGCTGATTCATCATGTCTCCTTGTCGAGAGTTAGTATACGCGTGCTGCTCGTTCTAGCGAGTAGCTACACTATTGTGGAAGCGGCCATTTTTCTCCGGCTATTGTGGCGGACCAGGAAGGGACAAGATCAAGCACGGCGACGATCGATAGACGAGACGGAACAAGGGCGGGTGGGGTACGAGGGATCTCAGCGGCGGCCCGTAATTGATTGACCGCAGGGTAGGCGCTAAGCCGCTTGTGGACGAGATTGGCCATGCTTTTCATCAGCCAGTGTCGGCGACTCCATTGACCTCAGCTCCTCACATCACCGCCGATCCACACGACTGATGGCACTACATGACTCTCCGCGCCCAAGCAAAGCAACTCCATCATTACGCCCGCCGTTCGTAACAACTGCATACTCCTACCTTCACTAGGTACCTTTTAATCCATCAGTATGTCAACCCCTGCCTCCCAATGTCTGGTCACCATGTCACCTCAGCTCATGTTTCGCTTCCTTTTCTTTTGCACTGACGTACAACAAAACATGGGAGCGGTCTGTCTCGAGTCCTCACCGTGCATTTTGTTGATTTTCGCCTTCGCCTCCGGGCCACTTGCGCCTCATGTCTCCGTGTGCGGCAGGTGGAGACTCAAGCAAACTAGCTCGCCCTACTAGTCTATTGCATATCAGTGCAATGCATGTGATGAACCAAGTCGAGTAAAATCTACCAGTGGCCTCTCACTGGCTCCTGGACGGCTCGGTCTCATCAGCGCGCTGCCCCATCGAGCCGTAGGTGGGTGTGACCTTCTGCATGTTGCGTCAATCTTGGTGATCGACACTTTTGCTTGCCAGACAACCACGCGCGAGCTAATGTGAGGGAGAAGAAACGCGCATAACCCTGTTGCAGACTTTTGTTCCTCGGCCTTCTGCTGCCGGTAGATATCTCTTTACGTGTCTGATGCGTTGAAATCCCCACTTTCCAAGACCTGGTTGATATCCTCCCCAAACCACGAGCCCCTCCCGCTCGCATTTTGACTTGGCCAACATGACTTCCAAGAATACCGAGCAGTTGCGTTCTCAGATGCCTGTACCCCAGCTTGCCACATCGATTCGCAGCGAAAACCCAATGGACTACGGAGCTACACCGCACCGTCAAGGTCACGTAACCAAGAAGTTTGTCTTGTGCTTCGATGGCACAGGTAACAAGTTCTCTGGTACAGATTCAGACAGTAATATTCTCAAAATCTATCGCATGCTCGATCGCAATGGCGATGACCAATTTCATTACTACCAGCCGGGTATTGGCACTTATATCACCAAAGCCAATGGCTCCATGACCAGAACAGGCCGATGGGAAAGATTCCAGTCATGGTATGCCAAAGCAAAAGACAGTGCAATCGGTAGGCTTGCCCTTGTTGGTGATTTTGCACAATCTAACGCCACCAGGAACATCCTTTGACATGCACGTTATGGCAGGATACAAGGTATGTTAGCAAAGTCTTTCTAAGCGGGGTTGTACAGAACTCCTGGAATCCAGAATCTCAGTTACTATGAGCTGTTTGACTGACAGACTTGTAGTTTTTGATGCGATACTATACCCCTGGAGATGATATTTATTTTTTCGGTTTCTCGCGAGGCGCCTATACCGCTCGCTTTCTTGCCGAAATGCTGGATCATGTCGGTTTACTTTCTGTGAGTATCTGATCATTGCAACATAGTGCGCATTATTCTAACTCTTAGTAGGCAGGTAATGAGGAGATGTGCCAATTTGCGTGGAAGTAAGTTTTTTAACAGATATGACGAGATCTCGCTGACCAAGCTTTCAGGACATTTCAAAAATGGCAATGTCGAGTTCCAGAAGAGGAGAAAAACAGGAAGCCTGGCGAAAAGTCAGAAAAACATAAACAACTCGAGTTCATGTGCGCTTTCAGAGAGACATTTAGCCGTCCTGTCAAGCCCATCCGCTTTCTTGGTCTTTTCGATACTGTCAACAGTGTCCCGGCCTTTGAAAATGCATGGATGCAGCGCAGCAGGTTCCCATACACTGCACGAAGTAGCGCCCGCGTCATCCGACATGCGGTTTCAATCGATGAGCGCCGCGCAAAATTCCGACAAGATTTGATCTCCCAGGAAAAGCCAGACAGGTCCATGTACTATAAACACCGTCATAAGCATTTGAACCAGATGAAGGACATGGTTCACAGTCATGGCGATCATGAGCATGTTGATGAAAAAGACAACCACGGTGAGGAAGACAGAGGTCGAAGTGAGAATCTGCTTCCTCCTGAGCGATTTAGAAATCCTCATGACACTTCGGGAGTGCGTAGTTCAAGCAAGGGGTACAATAATCGCTCGCCTACTCCCTCGATGCGATCAGTCGATGCTCGCGCAACCTACAACTCAGAAGACGAAGAAGGCGAACAGGACATTAAAGAAGTCTGGTTTCCCGGCTGCCATGCTGTGAGTGCGATCTTGACATGATAGTATGGTTGATAAAAACTAACGCAGTACAGGACATTGGAGGCGGCTGGCCCATTGACGACGGCGACGCAGCACTAAGCCACGTCCCTCTCGTCTGGATGGTACGCGAAGCCCAAAAAGCCGGTCTCGAATTCGACGAGGAGAAGCTAGAAGCTCTAAGCTGCTGCCACGAAAACGCCATGCCCAGCGGTGGTACCCACACCCACAACGATGTCCCAACCATTGAAGTCGACCCCGCCTCGCCCTCAGCCACCGACGCCGACGCAATCACGTCCAGTGGAATCACGGGCTATACCGACGACGAAACCATTCTCCTGCACCACCGCGAAACCCCAGACACGCATTTCCACCAGCACCTCAACGCTGCAGCGACCAAAGGCCGCATCCACGACGTCCTGCAGTTCAACAACGGCGTAAACCGCATGGGCGTTATTTCCTGGAACATAATGGAGTACCTCCCCTTCCGCCGCATGGACCTGCAAGAAGACGGCAGTTGGAAAGCTATCCGTTGGCCGCTGCCCAAGGGTGAAACACGTGATATCCCTGCCAACGCCGTGATCCACTGCAGCGTCATCAAGCGCATGCGTGCGGATCCAAAGTACCGCCCTGGCAACTTGATTGTAGGAGGTGGCGGAAGGGGTGTGCGAACTGCGCCCGGTGATTACGGTATGGGTAAGTGGGTTGTGTCGTGTGAAGAGGGTCATCATGTTGGTGAGTGCTTTGTTAGACGGCATCCGCCCGAGCGTACCAAGACGGATGAAACGACAGGTGGGCGTAAGGGGAGTAAGGGGAGTAAGGGGAGTAAAGGGAGTAAGGAGGATTATATAGGGGCGAGGAGGACATCGTGCGGGACGAATTGTGAGGAGTAGGGTGAGTTTTTTGTGTATATGTTTTCAAAAGTGTTTGCGTTGGTCGTTGGCGTCATGGCTGTAATACTGGACGCGGGCAGTTGCAAGTCTTTGGGAAATTGGATGGATTTTTTTTGTCTTATCATTTTTTGTTTTTTTGTTTTTTGTTTTTTACCAAATTATTATGATGTTTCTAAATTCTAATACTAGAAAATTTACGTTCATTCGTTGAAGGATTTTAATGTCGTCTGTTGAGCGAAATTGAGTCTAGACATGGGAAGGCGAAATCGGCAATCTATCTCCCAATCTTATTTTTTTCTTTTACACATTTTCTCTCAAGAGGACCGCCAGAAGACCTGTCTGTTACACCATATCCCGTCATACATCTTTTTTTTTATTATATATCCCTGAAAGAAATTCCGCATCACAAATTCCATTCAAACACACACCCTACACCGTATATCCAAGAGAGAGAATTAAAACCCCTTGGAATCCAAATTAATCTATCAAATCCTTCCCTAAGCACTCTAAAAAAACACCCTTAAACATATGTTTTCCTAAAAAGAAAAAAGAAAGAATCACTGGCAATTTCTCTCTCCACACATACACACACTTCCTCACCCCCTTCTTACTGCAAAGCAAAATACACAGCCCTAGCCTCAGCCCTGACCTCCTTCTCCTCTACATTCCTCTGCTTCTCTTCCTTGCCTTTTCCCACTTTCTCTTCATCTAGTCCACCTGTCAGTCTCTTTCTCTCCATCTTTCCCTTCTCCAACACCCATATGAAGAAAGAGACCGGTGAACTTACGTCGCGTATTCCACATTTTGCCAAGAACTTTCTTCGACACCGATGTACGGGAGCGTACAGAGTTTGTATCCGAGGATGCAGACGCGGTGTATGATGGAGGCGAGAGAGCAGAGTAGACGGGCGGTGCGTGGACTGTAGCGGTAGCGGTAACAGTGGTGTCGGAGTGTGAAGACGACATTACTATCCCAGCGGTCTTTTGATATCTTGTTGTTTTATGAATGGAAAAGTGCGGTTCATACAAAAAAGGGGCAGTTGAGAGAAAGTTGGACAAAATTCAAATCTGCTTTGTGAGATAGTGATATCGATATTTCCATTCCCCCACCCTTCCCATATATATATATATACTCTTAACCCCAAGCGCTGTATGACTTTCTCACCTCCCCCCTTCCCCCCTCCATCCCGCATGTCCAAAACCCCTACACCGCACCATTCGGAATACATCCTCCCCCTCCTCCAGACCACCATTACAGCAGCAGCTGAGCCCACAGAAGTAAGCGGAGTAAAAAAAAAAAAGGGCGGTGGTCAGTATGAGTCGAGATGGCGCGCGTGCGCCTTAGGGCTTAGGCAGCAGTTGAGGTGTGTGCAGGGGTGAGGAAAAGGGTTAGGCGTCCAATGCCGAAGGTACTTGGGTTGTTTGATAGGTGCGCGGATATATAGGTATGTGAGAGGAGAAGAAGGGGATAAGGGGGGGGGGGGAAGGGGTTTATTCCGGAGGTGGAGGGAAGGAAGGGGGGAGGTTCGGAGTTCTGTGGGTTGAGGGGTGGGAATGGTGGAGGGTTCGGAATAAGATTTGGATGCGTAGGGGGGGCGCGCGGTTGCGGAATGGGATGGTGGGTTTGTGGCTTGATGTGGTTTTATTCCGGGACACATGTAATGAAGATGAGTAAGAAGGGCATGGGAGGAAGTACGTAGTTACGCTAGGCGCAGGAATAGTCACATTGATAGGCTTGGTAAAGAGGGATTATAAATCGATGTTGGGATGTGGGTTACGATTATCAACTCCGAAATTGGGAGATGATGGATAGATACATAAAGGAGTAACGGGTCAACAAATATTTACAGAAAAGAACTACTTCCGAAAGCACATGGATGCTCCATTTCATATCAGCTTTTTTTTACAAACACTGAGAGTAGAATTCACCCGATGCCTTGCAACTCGATCCAGAAGCACCTATGCAAAGTCAGTAAAAGATGAACATTTCTCAACCACATATTTCCCCTCTCCATGTTAATAAACTTACAAGTCGTACAACCCGTGAACCCCTTCCCTCCACACTGCCCAAACTTCGCAACGGAGCAACCCCCACTACCACCCCCATCCGTCGGCGCCGGCGCCGCAGACGTCGCCACCGTTGACGTCCTCAACGTAGTACTCGTCTGAGTCGGCGTAGCAGCCGGCGGTCCACCCGTAGCCGTAACCACCGATCCAGCCTGTCCAGCAACTGCTTCGGTGCCACCTGCAATAACCGCGGGGCCAGGGGCAACATACGACGCAAGCTTCTGGTAGATATTAATCAAGATACCCGGATCAGACGCCTTGTACGCGCCCGGGAAAGAAACGCCAGAGGGAACAGACGAGCCACCTCCTGTAACAGTAATCTGATAACACGTCATGTAGAACTGCGCTCCACCCGAGCTCCCTGCTGCATGCAGCGCAATAGCTTCAGCACGCAGCAGGTAATCTCCCGCAGCGAGGTCCGCAGGAATCTTTACATCCATCTTCCCACAATTCTTGTTCAGATCCTTGGTGCCCCAGTAGTCGTCTGAGCCGCCGCCGCCCGACGGATTGCGCGCCCAGGTGTCCTGGAAGATTTTGAAAAACGGGGTGGAGCCGTCGGCGGTCGAGGCGTCGGAGACTTTGGAGAGGTACACGAGGACGGGGCCGTAGTGGGCGCCGCCGATGGCTTCGTTGGCACAGGAGCGGTCGCCGTTTTGTTGGTGCATTTCGATGGTTACGGTGGTGCCGGCTGGGACGCTGCATTTGGAGGCGGCGGGGCCTTGGTTGGCGTTGCAGCGGATGTCGTTGCTTGTGACGGAGGTGACGGGGCTGTTGCTGTTGGGGAGTCTTGCGCAGGTGGACTGGTGGGTGGGTGTTAGTGTTGTGGAAGGAATGGGTTTAGAGGGTACATATCTTGTCTACTCCGTTGACCCAGAGGTCTTGGAATGTTGCGTGGGCAGCAACATGGGTTGCAAAGGCAGATATGCCGGTTAGTAGGAAAGTGTTCTTCATTACGGAAGTTGTATGGCGTTTGCCTAAACAAGAAGATATAGGAGATGATGAGCAGTGACTTTCAATGTGACAGTTTACTGCATATTACAATCCTTTTATACTGAGATATGGGCAGCTAAACACTACACTGCGTGCTCGGTTGCATCTCGCTTCCAGCACGTCTCGACAGGCGGGGCTTTGAGGCATATCAGGTCGGATGACCTGGATGTATAAACGCAAAGCTTGTTTTTCACCTGGATCCGGGTTCAGTCTTCCACACGTGGTATAATGTGGGTTGGATGTATATTAATCAGTCTGCAAGGCCTCGTCTGTGACGCGTGGGCACTCTCATAGCGAGCGCTGGGGTATTCTCAAGGCCTCGCCTCCCTAGTGGACCATTTGTATATAATACGTATGGCATATAGGACCCACCGGGTCATGGTTCTGTCTAGCTGGAGTCTAGTGGGGTCGTAGGAAAATAACATTGGGTGTCCCCGATATTCCATGAGAATTCAAATGTTTTCTCGATTTCTTGCTTGCTCGTCCACTATTTAATCCAAGGTGGGATAACATGTGCTTTTTGTGGGGTTCGATTTACTATGTGAGGTCAGCTGCAGCTGTAAAAATGTCCCCATTGAAGTGACTGTGACTCGAGATGACCTCGCTAATAGTCGATATATTAAGTCGATAAGCTATCGAAAGTAATTTGTTTAAATGAAGACACGCCACGTGCCGAATCGCGCAGTCCCCGGATCTGTAGCTTGGCAAGAAGCTTGTTTTACGTCCATGTATGACAGCATCAGTAATGGGCCTTACTATCAACGTGGGTTTAGTTGGTGTTCGTGTGCTGATGGGTCCAGGGGGCACAGTGTTGGGTTGCAAGTCGTGCGAGGCTGTTTCGTTATGAACCAATCGGCTAGTCGTGCTGGATATTAAACACATGCACTTTCGAAAATCACTTTCCTTCTCAACGACCGGTGTTTGATTCTGCAAGAGTCATAGTTTTTCCTGTCCCTCTTTCCTAATACAAGCATGAAAATGCTTTTCTAGCCCGTGTTGACACATGACCTGAGCAACAATTGCACGTGACACCAATCAGCAGCTACATATCTGGATATTGTTCTTACACTACACCTTGTCCCACACCGTCTCCGCCTTTCTTACCTAATCCCCAGCCTTTCCGAACCCCACATACTACCCTGCTCTAGCAATACTTTTTTCACGTTGCAGTAGTCCATCCGTGTATCCGCTCGAACAACGCTTGTGGCTTGCGGCATTGCGAGTAACAGTGTAGCGATATCCAGAATTCCGGCTGGATCGCTTTGAATACTGAGGGAATTAAGTGTAGGCTAGAAAGCTATTAGGCTTGCGAGAGAGACTCAGTCAAGTCGATGCCTGTAAAGCGAGATTGGTTATTCATCTAGGGTTACTTCAGAAAAGTTGAACGTCATGTCGGTAGAAATTTGGTATTTGCTTTGTTCGGGTGGCTTTAGACTAGAGAGGGAATGTGTAGATGGAAGTGGTGTACGGGATGGAAGGGGTTTGGAGGCATAGTATTGATACTTGGTTCTCTTCCTTTCTAAGCCACTTTCCTTAGTGAATGATTTGGCTAATAGAATGATTCAGGGACTAGTAGGGTGGTCGAGCAGGTGGGAACTTGAAAGATAACTGTTGCACAAACGGAGATTTTTGAGAATGAGAACCGGGAAAAAGAAAGGGAAAAAGAAAACGCAAAGACTCGAAGAGAAGGTGTCTTCGCCAAGTTCCAGGAGTCTCATTGTTACATCCAGCACACCGCCTGCAATCCAGATGTGTATCTCAATCGATACTTTTTCATGCCGCATGAAGAGACGGAACTTTCGCTTAAGAAATGGATAGAGAACGAAGTTCTATAAAGCCACAGCTATCGAAGCCGTTCCGATCATCAAGTTCAACCCTATATCCTTTAGATTCTATTTACTTACCTGAAGCTACAATGCGTGCCTCTTGGACCCTCGCTGTTTCCGCCCTCTACACAACAACTATCTCTGCCAATGACATGCAATATGCCATGGGCGGACTCGACCTCCCTGGAACCATGTACGCGTGTGAGAGTGGCAAGTAAACCTAATAAAAGTAGCACTTGGCACATCTAACACCAATGGATAGGTGCTAGCCCATCAATCACTTGTACAGACCCGTCACTAAACAACCACGACTGCTCATGCACGTGCACAAACGGCCTCACATTCAAGCAGCCCGTCCCCTCGCCAACTGGAGACAACGCGACCGCCTGTCCTTCGCTAGACGAGTGCCAGGCGAGCAACGTGCAGTGCCTGGAGCGTGAGCAGGCACTAGAAGTACAATTGGTATCCAAGCAACAAGAGCTGGTGGACCGCGAGAATGCACTGCAAGCACAACTGACATCCAAGCAACAACAGCTGGTGAATCGCGAAAAGACACTATCAGCGCAGCTCGCAGCCAAGCAAGCAGAGCTGAACAATAACAAGCCCTTTATGTTTTTGCCCATGACCTGCCGCGTCGAGACGAACAACGGCATTAGCAATTCTGGCACCGCCTACCGGAGACTCCCAAAGAACAGCCCGAGGGAATGCGCGCAGCTCTGCTCCAAATCCGGTTTCTTTTTCCTCGGAGATGGAACTGGATGCTCGTGCGGAAACACCTCTCTTGGCACCGTGGCAGTTCCGGTGGCCGAGTGTTCGACAAAGTGCCCTGGAGATCCAAATCACACGTGCGGGTCGCGGACAAGGGTAATGGTGTACTATAAGTACTATATTTGAAGATGGAGAGCGGGCATGGCTAGAGTGGGTGGTTAGGCAGGGTTGAGTTGGAGACAAAGGGTTACCAAGGTAGCGTCGTGTGTTGGGACTCGAGTTGGGATATACTGGTGAATAGAAATGGTCTGTTGTTGGTTAGAACAATGTATCGCGCCATAGTATATATATACACACTGTGCGGGCCAAAAACGGTATAATGCACTTGAGAAGTCATGTCCTCCCTGCATCTGCGACCGCCTCGCGCTACGCTCCGCGGCCCGCCGTTTCCTTTAGGCACCGGCAAGAAGATGAAATGGAGGGGCGGCAAAAGAGTGGGGTAACAGTTCCATGACGTTTGAGCTCTGCAGCTACCTAGCTGTACAAATCATCAACAAACCCTCGCTGCCCACGCAGCACTCTTTGTTACTGTTGCTTAGCACTTTGACATTGCCAATCGCTTTCCCCCAGACAAGGAAGAACGAAATAGACAACAGCAAACTCGACAATGGCATCACCAAAGACGGTTCGCTGGGGTATCCTGGCTACAGGAGGCATCGCTCTCACCTTGTACGTTGTAATGGTTTACCCCGCCATGGTGCCACCACGTCCCACCCCCCACCATAGATGGCTATGGCAGCAGGCTGACGGGACAACAACAGTACCAGGGATTTGTTGTGCGATCCCACGACTCGTGGCGTGAACCATCTCAAGCACACGGTTGTTGCCGCTGCGTCGTCGACGTCGGAATCGCGTGCCAAAGACTTTCTCAAGGAGGTCGGCGCGCCGTCGGACGCAAAGGCATACGGATCGTACGAGGAGTTTGTTAAGAACCCGGACATTGACGTTGTCTACATTGCCACGC